ATGAGCAAGAGCAACTTAGAGCAAGTTTCCGGTTCAAAGATTCAATCTGTGTAGGAGGGCTATGTGGATTACTTTTTGCAACCTCTAGCTGGGTTTGAAGCTTTCGTTTTCTGCGAGAGGGGATGCGCACAGATGAGCGAGTTTGGGTTTTGGGAGGGATCTTCTTCGGACAGCCAATCTGACAGATTTGTAGAGTAATAAGAGTGAATAGCTCTGGAAAATCCTCTTTGTCGCAAAGGTTGATGAGTTGAGCCCAGTCAACAGATGAGAGCATGTCATTGATCGATGAAAAATCTGCTTTATTAAAGTCTAAGCTTTTAAACGAAGAATCAATGAAATCCGGATGATCTGAATGAGTAGGAGAACAAGGATTGTAAGACACAAATATTTCTACACGTCTGTGATCTGATAGTGGAGTGTCCGAAATAGAGACGTGAGAAACTAGATCCTCTGAGTTTGAAATGTACAGATCTAATACATTTCTGAGTCTGGTGGGTTCCATCACATGTTGAGTACATAGACTCAGGGTAATCGTACTGTAGTGCGACACGTACTCTAGTGCGACAAGTACTCTAGTGCGAAGTCCGACAAAAACACCCTCTGTCGCACTACGATCCAGGTAGAGTACTCTAGTGCGACAAAATATCCTGTTTTATTTCCAAGTTCAGGTTACATCTTATCCTTCTTATAATGGACCATAATGAACATGATAGCCTGAGGTCCCCAGGTCACAGGTAATCTAATTGCAGCGCGCGGTATCAGTCCTTAGTCAATTACCACCAGAAATAAAATCACGCTTTTCAGTTAAAGGATCACGCGTTGCACGGAACGTAGCCATTTATAAAACTGGCTACGTTGCAGGGTACGATAGATTTAGAGTAATTTAGTATGGCTCCTGTTTTGCGGGACATATTGCATGTTTCAAGTAATGCTTTAAATTCTTTCTGTTTATAAATTTGACCAAAACCCATAATCACGGGTAGGGTGGACCGCTGCCACTGCCAGTGTCTCTCTTTCCCAAACAAAAGGAAATTATATTAATATTTTATTTGAATAACCGTCCGCAAATACAAAATGATACCGAGTATGAAATTGGTCGCTCGCTTTTCCCATTCATTCACGGCTTACGAACTATAATAAGTTTCTATCAATTATATCAATCACATGCTATAAATATCTTTGGGTTGCTTTCGCGTCGATACCTAATATTTCGGGATATAAGTTAATATCCAATTAGCTGATGTTTATTGAATCTTTATTGTCGAGTACAGCTGCCCCTATTACAATTGACACCACTTGGGGGTCAAAATTTCGGGACCTAAAGTTCTTGTTCCTTGGCCAAGTTCTTATTTCTTTATACTGATAATAAGGCCATTAAAGCATTTGACCGAGTTTGTGCCCGAGGTGTGCCCGAGGTGTGCCCCAGATGTGCATTGGCAGATTACCGAATTGCCGTATGACTTTTAAACAATCAAAGCTTTAACTCCATCCCATGATATAACGATACATTTTTTCTTCAAGCTCTTTTGCAAGTTCGAACAATTTAATGCTTAGCAACAAAAAATGACGTGATCATTCAGCATTTCTCAATAATCATGCATGAATTGGTGAGCAAGACAACAATTGTATCGTGCTGGATGTGAACTGCACGTACAATTTTAAAACTCAATACTTTAATAAATGGAAAACATGTGGAATCCATTTATCAAAGTTATAAAACTTTTGATTGTATGCTATGTTCCACGGAACTTATGCTTATTATAGTAGTACCTACGTTGTTTTTCATAAATTGGATCGAGAGCAGTTGAAATTGTAGTACGTTGTTTTTTATTAATTAGTAGAGAGTAGTTGGAATTGTCGTTACCTGGACAATCAGGTTAGCAGTGTCTGATTTATTCATGACTTAATCTTGAGTAAGTTGACAACAAATGAATATTGAGACTACCCGTTTTCAATGCCAATCGGCCAAGATGAAAACGAACCAACACGATTTTCAGAGCTCATACGAATCACAAAATATGATCGGAGGTATTCAGCTTTGCTGACTCGAATAACGTCTTGTCGTTATAATTTTATGAGAGCAATACTTTTTTTTAATGCACGACTTAAGACTTTAATAGTAACTTAAAGTTGACTATAATCTATAATAATCATGTAATAAACGCCGCCGAGATTTATGATTTATAAACTCGACCCAACTTTACAGTTTACACCGTATGTGATTTATTGGGTCATGAATATCGAAGAAAACATTTAACTTCCTGTATCAGTATGTTTTCTTAGATCACTGATCTATTGGGTCAGGAAATTCGAAGAAAATATTTATATAGGATAGGAATGTGTCGTCGATTATGCTCACAACTCTAACCAGAAAAGCGTATATCCACCAGCGTGCGCTTTTTCGCATAGCGGGCTCTCACCAGCCCGCTGTCAAAGGGCCCGATATCTCTACAGCCCGCTCATGATATAGCCCGCTAACAAGTGACATTTAATTTGACCAGTAGCAATATAGCCAGGAGTTCTCTAAAATATTTTCAGTTTCTGTATCGTCTCCATGTGAAATTCCTTATATTACACTGACTATATATATAATATTATACATTTCATTTTTGTGTCCGGTAGGACTGCTCATGCAGCTCGTGAGCAGATGACATGATATTTTGATTTATATCAAAATTATTGTAACACACTACATAATACACATCAGCACTATAATCCCCCTATATTATTGATATTCATCGTCACTGACATTACATTCATTATTCCCACGTAACGGCCCGGGAATGCAGTGCATCTCGAGCCCCTTTATACGACAAAGCCCTTTATGATTGGCTTACATTGAACACGTGACGTGTTACCATGGTTACAACAATTAGTGGCGACCTTTTCTAGAGTTGACTTTTATACAAGCTCCATTGTTTATTTATAAGATTCTATATTAAATGTAATACGCCCGCTGGTGGATATAATCCACATCACCTCGACCCGCGGGCGGAAAAATCGTATAGCACTCGGGCCCGATGGGCCCTTCGTGCTATACGAAAATATGTCCTCCTCGGGCTAGCGCCCTCGGGGACATATGAAATATTGCACGCGCGTGCGCGTGCAATATTTTGTTCCGCCCGCGAGTCTCCGGTGATATGTATATATATATATATGCTCTCTCGTACCACAATTAGAAAGTCTATTATTTTACTCTTAGTTCCCAAAAATTATTTCGACAAAAATTTTGGCGGCCCTCTCGTAAATTAATGGCACATATAAATATTTGCATTTGCATTGACACTTTTATTTGTCACTGACACTATACAATATATATGTAGTTAAACTTAAATTATTTCATGTTCAATTCCATTGGAAATAGTTTTCAACCAAAACCCAAAACTGGGTAATATTATAAAGTGCATGGAACGTAACAAAAGTTTCCTTTTTCCAAATAAAAGGAAATGATATCAATTTAAATTACCGTTTCTGTACTAAACGCGAAATGTTGCCGAGAATGAAATCGGCCGTGAATGAATCAGAATAAGAAAAGCGAACGACCAATATAAATTGAAGTGTTTTTTCACATTATCTGGCATCCTGAGGATAGATATAGCCGCAGAGATATATGTTCATCTTAGAAACATAGTATGTCCGCAGGCTGGGTTATCGTCAAGGGAAGCATTACGTTACCGTAGATGTTTACTTAACGGCTAGGAAAGATTCGTAGATTCCTCCGGTTACCTGATTAAGATTTGTATGAAGTCGTGACCCCCATTTTTTAACGGCCAGGTAGCGCAGTTGGTTAGCCAGCTTTGCAATCGTGAGGTTGCGGGTTCAAATCCCACTGCCTGCCTGGTCGTGGGGTGAGTGTCGTTGACATTCAGCTAAGGATCGTGAGTGGTCTATGCAGCCCCCCGGTCTACTCAGCCGAATACTCGAGAAATCGGGTGTGAGGGTTAAATGAGGAGCTGCACATTGCAGCAAAGTCTCGGGCGAAGAAAGTATGGTACACACTACCTTAACCGTCACTGGCTAAAAACAAATCCTTCGGCTTCCTGTAATTGGCTGGTTACACTTGTGTAACAATATGGCTGTTGGAATACTCCGAAGTAAAATAAGTGTCTAGATAAAAAAAAAATACCATTGTCGTGACCCCCATACCATCATGTCGTGACCCCCATACCATTGTCGGTCCACTTAGTGTCGGGGTGCAAACGTGAGGTAAAGTAAGATTATTTCCAGGAATTTCAGAAATCCTCCATTAAATGCAGAATTATTGCAATTATATAATACAGTCTTGAAATATTTCTTCTTTCATTGAATCATTCAGTCGGCTAAGCTAATTTATCATTCGATCCCACCGCCAGCTCATTTGCGGACTTGTGTCTTATTTTCAATTTTCAATTTTTTTCGACCATCAATTTTTCCTGAACGTCACTTATTATTGACTTTTTCTGCCAAGTAACCCTTGACAACATCATATTATACTAGTAGAGTTTAACAGTTTGTTATATTTACGCTTTATAATTTGAATATTTCGTTTAAATTTAATCGGTAAAAATTTTCTTTTTGTGCATGACTGGTACATTACCTTTTGAAGAAATAAATCATTCATTTCTTCAAAATGTAATGTACCAGTCATGCACAGAGTGCAAGTTTTTACGGATTAAAGTTAAACACATTTATTAAATAAAATCGATTGCGTGGCCTTTATATCAATGAGCTGTCATGATATGTTTGATCATATTAAATCGAAATAACCTAGATTTAAAGCGTGAGAAAACTCAAAATTTAAGTCAGTCTAAAATATTTCGAGAAGAAAGCGGCGCGTAGGATTCCGGTGGATCAGCTAAGTTATCCATGATATCTTGACAGGCCCTATGTGAGCCGTGAGGTGGTCACTGAAGTTCTTGTGAAGTCATTTGAGCTGAACGACACAAAATCCTGTTTTGGTGCATAGAGTCCATAATCATCACCCTGTTGTTTTCAATTTGTTTAATCCAAAACTTTAACATAGGATTAAATTGTACAGCGGAAATATCACAGTGGTGACAAGAATTCAAAGATGAAGTTAACAGTGTCCCTAGCTGCCATATTGTTGCTGGTAGTTGTTGATGCCAGTAAGTATAAGTACTTTTTGCATGCTATATAATAATAACAAGACACATGTTATATTTATCTATGGTTTACCTGATTTTCTCATAAAGAAACTCCTGAAGGCACAAAATTCCTGTGTACGATTCTTGTTTGGTAGAAATAAGAAAAGCTATTAAAAATGGGACAGGGTCACTACATTCCTGAAAAAGGCCCATTTTCTTCCAACTAGACAGCGAATAGAGTATAAGATTGCTCTAACAGTTGTTGTATACTCGTTTTAGCACGTATTTTAGGAACGTATTTAGGCATGTATTAGTGTACGACATTTAGTACAGCAGGGTAGTACAGAGAGTTAAGTTTTTTTTATTCTATTTTTTAAATTTTTTTATTCTTTATTCTTTATTTTTAATAAAATATGCAACCTACTAAAACTAATGGAGCCCTCCCCGGGGTCATTCCTCTCGCATTTGCGAGGGTCGTCCCAAAGGTGTAAAAGGAGGTCAGGATTTGTTCCCACCAAGCTCTAACATCGCTATTTGCTGACCATTGGCTTTCACTGAAGGTAAGTTTTTTTGAGAGTGGGACTGGAGGCCGACCGTCAGTATGGGATGCAGGGCCAAGTGGGAAACAACGTCAAGGCCCCTTTCTACTTGGGCCATGTTGGTTTTGGCGGATACTGTGGTAATAAGATATGAAGTGAATGAGTGAAAAGAAGTGAGTGAAAAGGGTGTAAGAGAGGAGGAGCTTTTAAGGAATTTAGGAAAGGAAGGAAGCAGGGCATGACTACAAAAAAACAGCTAGTAGCACTGCAAGATAGTAACAATAACCAATACAAATTTAATGACATAGAAAGCAATATAATTAATGGAGTGGACATAATGCCCTAATCGGCCAAGGTCGACACAATAGAACTTTTTTGACCTATTTTATCCCCTGTAGAGATAGCTTAAGAAGTTTGATATACCCCTGCCAGATCGGCATGTCTCCTGCCTGGAATTTTTTGCTATTGTACCATTTGGCAACGATATTAAAATAATTTATAATTTGTGAAGTGTGATTACAAACTATAAAATTAATTTTAGTGGGATCTTTGTAATTACTATCGATTTTCCTTTTGATAAAGTCTTCAAGTAATGTGATGAAGCTATTTGTGTGAATACAATGGAGGTAAATATGAGGAATAGTTTCTAAATATGTTTTACACAGGCTACACATGGGAGTATCTGTAACAATCTTCATGTTATGTCTTATGTATCTACACGTTGTGATCCTCATTGAAAGTTTGTATTGAACTTGAATCAACTTAAAATGTTTTGATACTAAGAAAAACAGGTTGCTTAGAACGACTGCCCAATCGATGGAATGACTATTTAAGTCGATAACCCATTGACATAAAGGGGACAGCTCGTTTGGGCAAATAGAATCGTATATTTTATCCTGAATTTTGCTTCCCTGCACCTGACAAGTTGCAGAGTGTAAAAATTAAAGTTTTATATTCGGGTCAATCTCAGAAAGGAAATCTGAGATATAAAATATTCCCTTATCAATAAGATGATTGTTCCAAAGTTTGAAAGATTCGTAGATTCCTCTACTGGGTTAACTTCCGGTTACCTGATTAAGATTTGTATGAAGTCGTGACCCCCATACCATTGTCGTGACCCCCATACCATCATGTCGTGACCCCCATACCATTGTCGGTCCACTAAGTGTCGGGGTGCAAACGTGAGGTAAAGTAAGATCATTTCCAGGAATTCCAGAAATCCTCATATTTACCGCAATCGCAGATTTACCGCATACCCCAATCTAATTAATCTACCTCAGTTAAACAAAAATTCAGTTAAACAAAAATTCAATTTTATGCCATTTATTACAGAGTAAACAAGTTTACAATAAATCAATCTGATATTTAAAGGAATCCTAATTCAATGTGTAGTATGGTTGTCACTCTTTAAATAGATTAGATATAGGTTGACGGGGCAAAGGAGTGTTCGTGCTGTTCGCTATTGCTCACACCAAACGGCAACCTAGTAAAATTTTTGTATGGACACCGGTCTCCATCACGATCCAAAATTAGGATTGAAGAATTTATTGTATAACTTTTAGTGCAGTGGAGGAAGCGGTGTGGTGCATTAATAGAGTGACAGCCTACTGATTTAGAGTTGTGTTTACGTGAGCATAATGGGTATATTTTTGGACCTAAAGGCTTTACTATGGCAACTTTAAAATTGGTTCTTTTAATCATTTATTAAATATCACTTAAAAAATATATAAATCTGGAATCTGTTCACACTGTGAACCAGTCCTATAAAAAAAACCTCTTAAATCAAATATTTAAAACGTCTCAATAATGGAAATAGTCATACAATTAAGAAATTTACCAAATTCTTAATATCTACCTTAAGAGAAAAATACCTACCTAAGTCAATGTCTACCTGTAATACACTAAATATTAGGTTAAATACATAGGTGGTGGAGTCAGCACACATTTACCAAAATCAAAAATTTTCTAATAGGAGGAACCTGTGGGCCGAGAAGTGAGAACACTGGATTACATTTGTTGAAGGGGATACCTGAACCTCACTATCAAGCCATCGGAGTGTTACAAAGTTGTTGTACTCTTATCTATAAGTGTATATTCACCTACAAGCATAACTGCTTGGCGTGATGAGGTACATCTTTGATTGGTCGAAGGTCTTTCAACAACACAGCATCATCACTTTCATAGTAGTCCCTGGCTTATAAAGTCCGTTGCATATATTGAACATATAGTCCGTTGCATATATTGAACATATTGACACGGGTGCAGAGTTGAGTCTGTACGGAACCTAGTAGTTTCAGATCCTTGTTTAACTTGCCGTACAGCAAGGTCATCCACTACTTTTTTTTTTATCTAGACACTTATTTTACTTCGGTGTATTCCAACAGCCACAATGTTACACAAGTGCAACCAGCCAATTACAGGAAGCCGAAGGATCTTTTTGGCCAGTGACGGTTAAGGTAGTGTGTACCATACTTTCTTCGTCCGAGACTTTGCTGCAATGTGCAGCTCCTCATTTAACCCTCACACCCGATTTCTCGAGTATTCGGCTGAGTAGACCGGGGGGCTGCATAGACCACTCATGATCCTTAGCTGAACGTCGACGACGCTCACCCCACGACCAGGCAGTCAGTGGGTTTCGAACTCGCAACCTAACGGTTGTAAGACAGGCGTTCTAACCAACTGCGCTACCTGGCCGTTTTAGCCCGGCGAGGCACATAACTCCCTCTACAACTCCATGACAAATGTTTCATATATACTAGCCGAGTTCACAAGATATATCCTTGAGTTTGAGAAGAGCTCGTTAGAACTGCTTCCTTTCCCTTCAGTATCCCACAGTCTCTCGAGTTTCGTAACTGCCAGAGAACTCTCCTAAACAATTACTAGACTCGGTGATTATAACGGGTTCATAGCGGTATTAAACATGTTTTCTGGGCCCAAACATTCTACGCTCCTACTATGTTATTACTGGTCTCTTGGTTAACTCCCAATCATCTGTCCATATGATAGTGTTTCTGGACAAATAGATGGTATACGATGTCCTCAGGCTGATCTCAGCGATCTTCTTCTTCTCTTTGTTCTTTACGTTCAGGTGGTTCATAAAGGTTGGGAGGCTATAGTTGTAAATGCATCGAGCTTCCACTTCTACTGTCTGGAGCTTGCAAGCCCATCCGTTGGCTTCTATCACTTCTGTCAGCTGCTGATATCTTTTCATCTTTCGCTTCTCTTGATCAGCAAAGTTCTGCTCATTTCCACAAGTCAGCTCCATTAGATAAACCTACTTTACTTTATCTGGATAGATCACTACATCAGGTCTTAGTGGTGTAGCTGCAATGTGCTGCGGGAAGTTCCTCTGTCTCTCATCCTCATCAAATATTATCTTCTAGTTGTTGGCATCTGAAAAGAAATATCTTTGGGTCTTATGATGAGTTGGGTCAGCAGCTAGGGTAACCTTCTCGCGCTTATTGCCTGCCTTGTGAAAGACCGACGGTGCCCTCTTCGGTTCCTTGGCGATTTCGGAATTAACCTCGTCAATCTGTGATGAAACAGTCTTCATGATTTCACGTAGGACCTGATCATAGCGCCAGTTGAAACGTCCCTGTCTTAGTGCAACCTTGCAGAACGTGAGGTTATGATTGAGTGTCCCTTGTTTGCTGCAGAGTTTACAGTTTCTGAAACGGCTTTATTCCAAAGCTTTAGGTTGCTAGGTGTTGACGCAGTTTCATGGATAGCATGACAGTTGCGGACTAAGTTGATAGATCAGGTTATTCCACGTGGTGTGAAATGTCATTGTATTTTCCCATGTGAGAAAGAGGTTTTGCCGCTTTTTGTCAACAAGTGAACAAATAAGTGTCTCTTCATCAAAGGTCCTCACCATGTTGGTTAGCAGTTTCCTCTCTGATGTGTCCTCATATCTTGTCCCATACCCGAGGTCAGTTGTACCAACTACAGGTTCTCCAACTAACTCTTGGAAGTAAAGTTGGCGCTGACGGTCTTTCAGCTCTTTGGGATAAGACCACATCTTCTGTGTGTCTGCAATAGCCTTATGGTTAGAGTACACTTTTTTGCTGTAGGGGTCACTAGAGTTACAAAGTTGGTGTCCCTTAATACGTTGGATGACTTTGTACTCAGTGCAGATGTTTTTCAGCTGCAATCCTTTCTGGTCTCTACTCCTGTAGAGTACGGTGGTGGTACAAGGATGCACAATCCCTAGCCACTTCTTAAGGTATCTGTTACACAATGCCTCAAGCTCTCTCACAAATGTGATGCGTAGGTTATAAACAGTTAACCCCCATGACATCTTACTAATGATGAGGTGGTTATACACCCACGCCTTCATTGGACCCGTGATTTCATCATTAGACTTTGTTTCCAAAAGGTCCTCTAGCTTCTTCTTAATCATGGACCAAATTTCCTTCACCTCAAGATCTACATACATGTACATTCCTAGGAACTTCATTGGTGCTTGGATAATGGACGGCACCTGTTGTTCGCTTAGTACTCTGCATCATAGGTATTGTACTTTCCTCCAGTACACTTCATAAACATAGACAGGCACTTCGATGGTTTAGCATTCATTTTCTTCGACCAGTCCAGGAACTCTTTTACTACCTTCAACATCTTCTTCATCTCCTTCTCGCTCTTAACGACAACAGGGTTATAGGTCATCAGCAAATGCTTTCTTTGAGGTCTTGCTATCACTGAAGCTTGGCTCATACCCAACTTGACTGCACAGTACAGCTAGAAGTTCCAGTAAGACGTTGAATACTATAAGGAACAGGATCAGTGGGTCTCCCTGGAACAGGCCTAGCTCATACCAGAATGTTCTGGATGTCCATTTCCTGCACTTAACTAGGGCACTTAGGCTTCCATAATACTCAATTATAAGCTTAATGAAGCTTTCAGGTAGGTGGTACCGGCGTAGGGCATAAATAATAAGGCTGTGCGGGACTCTCCCATACGCATTCATAAAGTCAATCCAGATCACGTGGACTTGTGAAGAAAACCTCCCCCTACAGTTTTGGAGTGTGATGTTACGGAACTTGCCAGGATCTTTCAGGTCATCCGTTTTAGGAATTAATGTGCTCACTCCCACCTTCCACTGTGGGGGGACAACTCCTGTTTTCCAAATCCTGCATATCATATGGTGTAGATGGTGACTGAAAGTTCGACACTTCTTGTAGATCAGGTAGTTGACAACATTTGACCCATGTGCTGACCTATGTCTCCTTGACTTAAGTTTTAGGTGGAATTCATCCCATGTGGGTGGCACTGTACTGCAGATCCAATTAGGTTTGTCAAGGTCTTTCAGTCCTGTGGGGTTTACATAGTCACGCTCTCGGTTATTATCTTTGTACTCCTTTTCAAAGAACTTAGATGCTTCTTCACTGTCAAACTCAGGCTCTTTATCTTTAGTCTCTTCCTTCGTGAGCAGTTTCTTCTATCAAGAAACTACTTTTATTCATTATTAACGTTTCTAAAAAGAATAACAAATGGATTAACTCCAGCTCCAGACGAGTGTGTCAAAGCGGGTGAGGATGGATCAGACTACAGGGGAACTGTATCTGTCACAGCATCAGGACTCATCTGCCAGAGATGGGACTCTCAATCACCTAATGAACACGGCAGAGCTCCTGAGGAGTAAGTTTTCTTGGTGCTTCTATAAGCTTATAAGGCACAACAGGTATAAGCTAGTCTCACCCACAGGCGACCACAATACGACATAATCCAGAATTAGATTTATTCTTATCCAAATTATTCGGATTTTGGAAGATAGATGCATGTACTCTATTTAATCGAGCGTCTTAAATAATTTTACACCCAAACTTTGAATTTTTTCTAAAAGGGCTCTCAACAGAAGCCAAATTGTTAGTTCACAACACTACCTACTTGAGGAAAATATCTTATTACAAAAACATTTTCAGCTACCCTGATTCAGGACTGGAAGAGAACTATTGCAGAAATCCAGACGGGTAAGTCTTCAATATCTGATATCTGGTAGTGTTCCATAATCATTGTTATCAAGTCGACCACAAGGTAGGGGCACAAACATTTATTACAATTTAAGTAAAATCTACAATAAAACTGCAATGAAGGGGCTTTGGAATATAAATGATCTGAGAAATTTCTTTTTACTTTTAGAAATTCTTCATTATAACATGTGTCGTCATTTTCCTCAGTGAATCAAAACCCTGGTGTTTGAATAGTGAGGGAACTAATCCTCGAGGGGGGTTATGTGAAATACCTACATGCCCTGGTAAGCATTTTACCAAATTAAATCATAAATACTCATAATATTATACTATTATAGCTGAGATCATGTGTGGCGTGTGTCTATAATGTCTATACTCTCAGCTCCGAAATTTGAAAGGTTGCGTGTGGGTGCAGTTACTTCACTTAAACTAGTTTTTCATTGATCCAATGATATAGTTTAGAGTGGGGACCCCAGGCTATCATTTTCATAAACATTTTGAAGCTGTGGTAGAATAACAGTTTTTAGCAGCAGAAACAGTCCAAACGCCTCTTTTTCGCCCCCCTCTAGAATGACGGTTTAACCAGTTTATAAATTTGTAAACAATCAAAATTATATGATAACACTAAAATGAGTTGCAGTTGACGGTGGATGGAGTGAATTTGGAGAATGGTCGGCCTGTTCTGCTGAATGTGGAGGAGGTACTCATATGAGGAGTAAGACCTGTACAAACCCAAGTCCTGAGAACGGAGGAAAGGAATGCGAAGGGGACAGCGAGGAGACGGATATTTGCAACTCCCAACCCTGCTCAGATCACGAATACTCAGGTGCTGGATATAGCAAGATCAGTATCCTCTTTGTTACTTTGCTGTGTGCAATGAACATTATTTATTAGGCGTCACCCGGTCACTTAGCACTGAAAATGTTTGAACACCATAAAACGAATAGGGATGAAATTGAATATGGACTAGAACGCAAAAATATCAATAATCCATATCCTAAGCTGTGGCTTAATAATAATATTTGGTAACATATTTGGTAGAATTAAATAAGTGTGAAAGTTGTCGCATTTTGTGCGTACAAATACATACCTATAATTAAATTTAAATACAGTATATTACAGGGTGGCCCTGAAGAAACTACCCACACGCAACCCTTTAATAACTCACGTAATTTGTATTGCTAAAATATTTCAGAGAATATAGAGATATGGGTCAAACTTAGATTTCCTGAAAATTTCGTAAAATTTCATCACAACTCGGCTTATAACTAAGCCGAGTTATGACCATTTTAAGTGCCGATAACCAACTTGAAATTTTGGGAAAGCGCTTCAATTACCAAACCAAAAGTGTGTAGAAACTTTGGAGTCCCTGGCTCAAAGTGTCATCAAGTTATAGTGATGAAAAAGGGAGTGGCGTGCCAGGAAATCTAAGTTTGACCCATATCTATAATCTATATTCTCTAAAATGTTTTACTTTTAGCAATTCTGATACGAATTACGTGAGTTATTAAAGTTTTGGGTGTGTGTAGTTCCTTCTGAGCATAGTAGTGTTTTTACAGCTCAGCTAGTTTTACATTTGAATAAAAAGGACATAAAAACACCAGAAGCTACCGGTATTTCACCTCGACGCTTTGTTTTGAGCATGATTGCTAGTTAACTGCCCCTGCAGGTAATTAGCTAACTGATCTATTAAAATCAGGTAACTAGGAAAATTAAGGCTTGCATGTGGGTTAATATTATTTAGTTATTTACAGTTAGTTAGACTTCGTGAACTTTTGGTTTTATCTTTTTATGAATATGAAGTGGACTCCTTTTGTATCATAGTTGAGGCTGTTACGGGCAAAAATCACACTTTTCTGCTCGAGCCCTGGGACTTCTTTTAGGGTTCTTACTTCTTATATGATAGAACGGAGTGTCCTGAACACTCTGATGGTATCGGGAACCTTCTAGAGCCTTCAGAAGCTGTGTTGTGAGCACTTTACTGCCAAAACTTCGACCATCGACATTCGACAGACAGCATAGAATATAATCCACCTAAAATCCGTTCTGAATTGCCGACAATTCTTCGACATTGCATGAGGGATACCGTAGCATTTTTGGCGGTGTTGATGATATGAAGGTTACTTACTTGGGTTACTTGGGGTTGCTTCATAGATCCTCTATCGGGTCATCAGAACGGCTGACCACCCGTGCAGCGAAGTTGCTGTCTTTTCTGCGCTCCAGTTCAATAACGAGTTCCCGTTCTGGCAACAATATCCAGTAACAGGAGGTTCGTCCGGAATAGATGTAACAAACTCCGTCAACAATGACTTGAAGCGTAGGGGGTCCTCGATAAGGTGCAGGTTTGCGGGAATGATGTTCCACAATCGAGGCCCCATCACTACAAATGAGCTGTCAAAGATCGATTGATTCCTTTGGCTACTGGACGTTGACAAGCTAGGGACTACTGCTTTCTGGCCATAACGGAGTGTATCTGTAAACTGAACGTTGACATCATTAGGACACTTCTTGTGTAGGATCTTCCACATATGAATGATAGTGTAACGTTCTCTCCTCCGTTGAAGTGACATCAATTTTAAGGCCTTCAGTCTCTGCCAATAGTTCAGATGTTGCACACCATGTATTTTGGACGTAAATGTACGTTGTACTCCCTCTAGCTCAGCGATATCAGCTTGCTTAGTTGAATTCCAGAGGGGACAACAATACTCGAGATGGCTTCTGACTAATGACTTGTAGAGGGTCAGCATAGTGATCTTGTTTCTCGATCTAAAAGCGCTCAGAACCCAAGAGGCAACTTTACGGGCACGATCTGCTATCATAGTAACATGGGAGCTCCAAGACAAGTCCGCCGAGATCAAAACCCCCAGGTCTTTGACTGCATCCGTAGGGTACATTATGTTACCATGCGAAACTTGATAAGTTTGCGTCAGGATGGCAAACGGGAGGTCTTGCAAGCTGTTTCGGGGACAGTGTTTGTGCACAAGTATCTCAAATTTATCCTCATGCAATGACATGTTATTGCATCTTGCCCAGTCGATGACAGAGTTGAGATCATTTTGCAGTATACTTGCATCTTCAAGTGTATAGATGTGCCTCAAAATCCGTGTATCGTCAGCAAAGAATCTAATGACACATCCTGTGATGCACAGCTTCATGTCATTAATGAACAAAATGAAAAGCAGCGGGCCCAAAACTGTACCCTGTGGCACTCCGCTTATGATTGCTGCAGCAAGTGATGACATCCCGTCCAACACAACACACTGTGTGCGGTCACTTAAGAAGGATTCGATCCACGACACCACCTTTTCGTGAATTCCCATTCTTCTAAGCTTCTTAATAAGCAGTCGGTGATCCACTTTATCAAATGCTTTCGCAAAGTCAAGGTATATGGCGTCAGTATCAGCGTTTTTCACCAATCCTTGAACAATGTCATCAACGTGACTGAGCAGTTGGGTGAGACAGCTCCGCCCAGATCGAAAGCCATGTTGATTATCACAGAGTAATCCGTTCTTCTCTATGAAGCTAACCATCTTGCCACGCAGTATGCGTTCGTACACTTTTATAACGTGAGATGTGAGCGCCACCGGCCGGTAGTTGACAGCTTTCGCCCGATCACCCTTTTTGTATAGAGGAGTGATGTAGGTATCTTTGTAGAACTTAGGTACTTCACCACGCTCAAAGGATTCGCTCCAGATGAGTCGTATCGGCTCGCACATCTCTTTTGCACATCTCTTTAAGAGGATAGCAGGTATTCCATCAGGTCCGCTAGCAGAGTTAGGAGGAATATTCCCAATTGCAGATATGATATCGTCATCCATGATGCAAAAATCTTCAAGAGTTTGCGGATGTTCGATCGTAGGTAACGGGAAATCTGGGTCCTTGATATCAGGAGAAGGAGAGCTTGGATCACTGAACACGGAGCTAAACTGCTCCTGAAGTAAGTCCGCCATCTGCTTTGTGTCAGTAGTGATCTCCTGGTTTGCATCAAATAGCATGTTAATACTGGATTTGATAGTTGAGAGGGATCGGGCATAACTATAGAAGAACTTCGGATTACTTTTAATCTTCTCGATGGCTCTGTTCTCCTTCTCATCCAGTTTCTTGGTATGTGCAGTCATGATGTCGTACTGTAAGAGTGCAACTTTATTCCTGACTGCCTTGATCTGGTCTTCTGAAACATTCTTGTCAATTAATGCTTGGAGTCGTGCTTTTTGCCGGTTGCATTTCCGTCTCAACGCGTTGCTGTGCTTAGGACGTCCAGAGGGCACCGATTTCTGAGGAACACACGAACAGCAAATCTGGAACAGGGTCTCCGTAAAAAGAGCAGGAAACTCCTCAAAGGAGCATGAGTCACGAAGCTGAGACCAGTTAACTTCCTGTAACTCCTCCTTTAGTGCATCAAAATCCGCCTTAAAAAAGTCAAGAGACCTGAAGCTACTTTCGTCAAACTTAGGGATGGTAGCCTCCTTTCGGGATAGCGGATTGGTAGCGAGCATAACATCCACCAGATGATGGTCAGACAGTGAGGTAGCTTGTGCCTGAACATTAGTAACAAGTCTGCTGTTATTCGTGATGAACAAGTCTAGAACATTGTTACCCCTGGTTGGACAAAGGACGTATTGACTCAGCAGATGCTTGGCCATGAAGTTGAGAAGGGAGTGAGCTGATAGCTGAGTCTCACTGGAACCTCCTGACGACACGGATACAGTCTGCCAGTCTATTGAGGGTAAGTTGTAGTCACCTGTGAGCATAATATCGTAGCTTTCATCATTAACACGGTGAATACACGTGGAGATAAACTCCAAAAGTGAGTTGAAACTGCTGAGGGGGGCATTTGGGGGTCGATAAGCCACTACAACACATGTATTAATCGTGCTGAATCTGCAAAATAAACCCTCGCAGGTACCATCATCAAACGTATCACACTCACTTACAGGTATGTTGATGTGGGAATAGAGCAAAACTCCGCCTCCGACCCGCCCACTTCGGTCACATCGGGAGACTGTATACCCTGGAACATGTAGTTGGGCATCAGCCATATAGGGTTTGAGCCAAGTCTCAGTGAGCGCTACAAAAGGTAAGGAATGATTTCTCGCTCGTTCATCGTTAATGTAAGCGGAAATATCGGGCACCTTCCAACGGCTTGTACTTGAAGCGCTCGGATTCATGGACTGCACGTTTAAGACAAGGCATGAGGAATAGTGGGCACGTTCTGCATCATCTGGGCATGGGTAGGGAGCAGAGGTGTCGGATAGGGGTACTGGCGCTGTGGGTACGCCAATCCTGACTGAAGGTGTGGTGGGGGAAACTGGTATTGAGGGTTGGGGCGGAGACTGGCACGGATTTCCGAGATTTCCCGAGTGAAGCAGGTTTGCATCCTGTCCATCAGTCTCGCTAACTCTAAAAAAGAAGCCCCATAATCAGCAACTGAGGTAGAATCCTGGGTAGCTGTAGGGGCGGGGGCAGCTTTATCACCTTTCTTGGGCCGAGGAGCATCACCATTCTCCTTTCTCCGGGTCCCTTTCAGGTGGATAAATGTGCACTCTGAGTTAGTACACAGCTTGTTCTTGACAGAGAACTTACAGAGCACGGGGTGAAAGAACTTGCAGCTGGAACCCTTATTGCACCCGAAGTTACGCTGAGTACCAAAGCGGCAGTACTTATCACAGTATCTAGGGTGTTCGAACTCACAGACACGTCCTTCATGTTCTTTCTTCCCCCTTAAACCATGCGGACATTTTCCTCGCTTATACTTCTCACACACCCGTTCTCTGACAACTTTATCCAGTTTTGAGTTGAGATCATTAAGATTTAACTTCTCCTGGTTCTCCTTGAAAGATTCCGATGTTTCGTTGTGAGGCGAGGAAACTTGCGAAGAAGATATAGTGTCAGCATTAAGTCTCGCAAGGATAGCGGGGTCCGTGATACTCACGCTATCATGGGGAGTTTTCCTCTTTCTAGACACAATAGGCACACTAGACTCGTTGCAAGATTTGCACAGCCAAACGTAGCTAGAAGGTAGGTCTATCGAAGCCTGAGTTAAAACATCATGAAAACCAGATACAACAGCACAATCGTGAGATCCCCGAAAACACATATGGCAGTGAAAAAGCGGTTTCTGATCCGGCTCGAGATCTATCACGTATTTCTGGTTACACTCCGGGCATTGTGAGGGGAGCAAAGCGTTTAACTGGAACAGTATTCTACTGGCAAGTGTGTCCTTTGTGTAAATCTTATTACGATCACTGTCAGCTAAGTTAATACACAAAAATTCAGCACAATGCTCCAACATTTCAAGATTAGACGACTTTAATGCTTTGAGATTTTCAGCTCGCTTTTTTGAATGATCAAACTTCGAGATGACTTGTTTTACTATTTTGTTCGTTCCCGCACGGAGAAACAAGTTCCCGATCGATAATTCATTCGATAACTCCATTTCAGATAATGTACAACCACTTGTGTATAGCCACACTCACAGTACAATGTATGCACAATGATAGCACAGTGCGATTATCAACAACTGATAAGAGAGCGACTAAATCAACGCAAAAGCAATTATAGAATAGTTTTATATGAATAGTTTCTTAGTGAAGTTAAATTTAGAAAGAAAGTGTAAGATATGCTTTAAAAAGATTAAAAAAGACTTTTAAAGTTTGGGTTCCAATAAAGTAATAGTATTGTTAGTTGTGATGATTAGAAATTTGATAATTGAGCAACTTTATCGGCTCCTCAAATATTGGTATTTTTATTGTGTGAGATCCTGGAGAGGTTCGCTGTTTATCAGTCTCATGATAAGATAATGATTCCAGGGATAATATGCGGTAGTAGAGACTATGTAGGACAAGTGAAACAGTTGTTCTGAGCTTGCTGGTCAATGGCTTTCTCTACTCTGGGAGTGTTTCGAAATCAGCGTCCAAAAAATCTTTTTTAAGAGATCAATGCTTTTTTATAGTGCACGATTTCAAACATTCATGATTAAGAGTAGCTGAAAGTTGACTTAGCTCATGCAATAAATGCCGCCGAGGTTTATAAATATAACATAAAAACTCGGCCTAATTTTACTACTTTTAATATCCCGTATGTGATTTATTGAGCAGGAATATCGAAAAGAACATTTAACTTCCTGTATGTGTAGAAAAAGGCCTTTTCTAAAAAAAGATAAGAGGTATATAACGTGTAGCAATTGATTCAATGTGTCCGTGTGTTTCAGATTTTTGAGGAGATCTTCAGACTTCAGCTTTATCTCGTCACACAACTGAAAGATAATTAATTTTCAATTAATGATCCAATTGGGAAGAATCAAGTCCACGGGGATCTACTGGAAATTTACTGGGCGGCGTAATAATAGCCTGGGGTCCCCAGGTAACTGAAAATTTGCATTTGAACCACAAATAACACAACAAGATGTTATGATAATGATGAACATTACCAAGTGCATCCCGATTTACCGCGGAGTTTGGGAAAAAGGAAAAAGCTACGCAGTAAATCGGGATTTTCGGCATTTTGACGAGCTGAACAGTGAACGTCTTGACATGCCACTTTTCGCGCGCGAATATCTTTGATATTTGTGATACGTAACATGTATCAATGAACGTCCTGCACCTTTTGAACATCCTAAATTTGCCTGAATCTCAATGATGACGAGCTGGATCACTCCGAGCACAATCATTTTTCATGATAAATAGATCATAAACAAAACTGACATGGGCCTGGCCATATCTAATTTTAAAACATAACCCAGGCCAGAATTTTCTAGAATAACTGTTGAGTATCAGTAACCAGTGCAGAAAAAGAGAAGATATTTATCTCACTCCACTCTTTCTGCTGTTCTTACTGTTCTCCACTTCTGTTTTAGTGTCATTAACCGCTGCTGGTTCTTCTATCCTGAATGCTTGTTAAACTGGGGAGCTGTATAAATATATAAGTTACAATCATTTTTTAAAGTTACAAATATCAGCTGATTTGCAACATGTAGCGATTTAATGTGGATTGTGAATACCGAGTTAATCTTACTTTAAAGTGCATAATCACTAATTAGGTACCTAATCAGATATGATCCTAAATTTGGACTGCAGCCACAAACCAGCTCGATCCTGATTGGCCGCTGTATTAACCAATAACAGCGCCCCATTTCAGATCACAATCAATACTATACACTCACACCGGGCCGACCATTTATGTGGTTCATCGATTAGTTATTAGCATTAATGAGGTCTGATCGTCATCTTCTTACAGCGTTCGATGTCTGTGTGAAGGTAAAATGGTGATATCCTCTGGATCAGGCAGAGGTTGAGTGTTATCGGGATTATTTCTTTAGTAGTGGAACAGCAATACTAAGGTAATGGGACTACTGCTTTGTTAACAAGGTTTGGCCGGTAGAGGGTCCGCAGTAGTCCCATTACCTTAGTATTGCTGTTCCACTACTAAAGTTATTAGCATTATTAGAACAAGTTGTTAAAATACATTAAATTCCTTTGACAGATATTAATACAATATTTTCCTTGTCTGTTCATAGTTGCGAGATTGTAACTATACCCGCTGTTGCTGAGACAAAGTCACACGGCGCGCTCAAAAACTTGCCCTCAAAAATCTATGAGGGCACGTTTTATGGTGCTTTTTGCAAGTCGCGAGTAGATTTTACTTTTGAAAACTTTTTGTGAGGTGTTTGAAGCCATCTTAATGTCTGAAGAGATGAAATCTTGACTAGCACCTACCTGAAAGGATTTTATCGATCGGGTTTGTCTCAGATTTTCGATATCTCACTTCCTTTTTCTGCAGGTGACCGAAACGTACACGTCATTCTCTCGTAAAGGCGAGTACACTCTCTACTGAAACAAGTGCTGTGCGACACATGATTATCCTAGGATGATGAGAGTTAGTTTCTGGGAAAGCCCTAACGATGCTTAAAACGATAGGAACTGAAAAGTTTATAAATTATTGAAAACTTGTCCCCGGCACTTCGTTGAAGTTGCGAGATTCGATATCCATAAAGTAATGTCGCAAATTACTAGCAAAAACGTGCCTTCACGCGCGGGGGGGGGGGGGGGGGGGGGGGGTGTTATTTTGGACACGTTAAATACCAGTTAAATGCAAACAGCAAATTCTACTGTTTATGGTCAGAGTTTGGAGTAATACGGTTTAAGTTTATAGATTGATTGATTGATTGAGGAGCACTGCCCGAAGGTATTACTCGGCACTAACGCCTTAAAATCTTTAATTACAATCAAATATAAATATAAGCACACAATGTATAAAGTATTAATAATGTATAAAATATGATTATGCTATAAGCAAATTTAAATAGTACTATTAAGAATTTTTAAATAACTCTTATCTCTTGACATAATTTTAGAACAGCGACACAGGGTCTGAAGAATGCGCGGTGATATTTTTATCTTTTAAAAGTTGTAAATGACAGTGAAATTGCGCGGTGTCGATAGCATTGTAAAAAATGCTCGTAGATAGTCATATTTTGTTATGAGGTTAAAGTTTTGTTGCTCGTTATTAAAGTTTTGTTGCTCGTTATTAAAGTTACCTAGCTTGCTAGTCTTTCTTGCTGAGAAGCGAGCAAGAGACCAGCAAGCTTGAAGTTAGCCTAGATAACCTTAACCATTAAAGCTGAACTCAACACATAACAGAGCATATGAACTTACACTTAAATGTTTATAACATGCTGAGAATGAGATGCGTCTCGTTGCCGGTTCTAATTTCTGAATCATGAACAATTAAATCGGCGGAATGACAGGATGAGCGCCGCCCAGTAAGATTACGGGTACCATCCGTTGATGGGTATAATATTAATACTCTGATCGTCCACGGTAAATCTGATTTCAATGCCAAACTCTTCAAATTCCAAACGCAAGAAGTGGAGAAAAGCATCTGCCGAAAAGAACACACATGTGTGGAGGACCTGGAGGAACTTAAAGAAGACCTAATGAAAAGTGGACACAAGGAGGCCTGAAGCAGTCTTGAGGTCAATAAAACACGAATTGTATGAGAGCCTTTGTCAGTGATTGGCTTCTTATCTTCCCTCTCATAATGAGAGGGAAGATAAGAAGCCAATCACTGACAAAGTTGTCTTTTCAGTGACATTTTTCAAAGAGGTCACTGAGCTTAGGAAGTTGGTACATTCTACTAGTGAGGACATCAAACAATTATGCGGAGACGTACAGATATTGTTTGCACTACGTAAACAGCCATCTATAGGCAACATAGTAGTGCGCAATAGAAAACTCAGTTCGTGCTCCGAAACGAATTCTATCACCATTAGCCAAAACTGTGGCGGGAGAGACTGTGCAACCTGTCCCCAACTGTTCAACTCAATAATTTGGTTTTAACTCTGGATTTCCGGTTGACATGTAAGGACAGCAATATAATTTATGTCGCCCAATGCCAAATTTTTAATAAACTTCCCCAGAGCCTAAAAGACGATACCTATTTCGGCCAAACGGTTTCTCCATTTCATATCAGAATGAATGGACACAGAAACAAGTTTAAAATTGATAATGAATGTAATTTGAGAAGTCGGCACTTTCCATGCATTGTTTTCTAGCGCATAAATCTGATTTCACTATGGGAGTTTTTAAATTAGGTGTAGTAAGAAAAGTCCGACCAACAGCACTTGATAGAGAAGAGAGCATTCTTATTTCAAAATTCAGAACTAATATTTTTGGGTTAAATAGGATTGTCGTTACTCGCTAAATTTTGATTTTTGTTTTAATGTATTCATTGGGTGTAATACACGCCTTTTCGGTAACTGTTATGCTCTGTTGTCCATTCTACCTAGCACATTGAGCTCTTTTGTAAAGTTTCAGATTAAAATCTGTTTTGAATTTTCAAGTTGTTAACTTTTAAATTGCTTTCATTAGTCTGATTTTATTTTTATAGGCTAGGATGTAAATCTACGAAGAATTCACCAATATTTGTGCTGTCTTACTATGTGTCCAAACCAAATTAAATAAACTTGCTGTTTACTCTTTTATATACGGACGAGACATTCCCAACCTTGTTATTAATATTATGAGTCTTCTCACCCTGGTCCCCTTTACTGTAATCACCGTGATTAACATAGTCTTCTCACCCTGGTCCCCTTTACTGTAATCACCTTCTCACCCTGGTCCCCTTTACTGTAATCACCGTGATTAACATAGTCCCGTGGGCCTATGTGAGTACGTATTTTAAGTCACATACGGACACTTCATTCAGACCACCATGACAGTAACTATCTCTTTTTCTTTAAAGTACTTTATTTAAAGTCAGAGCGGTCACTTAAATGCATGCTTGAATGAACCGACCCTAATGGTCCTAGACAGGTCACGATCAAACCACCTGTGTCCTGTTCCATATTATCTTAATCATAATTATGCAATTCTATTACCTAACATACGGACGAGACATTTCCAACCTTGTTACTAATATTGTGAGTCTTCTCACCCTGGTCCCCTTTACTGTAATCACCGTGATTAACATAGTCTTCTCACCCTGGTCCCCTTTACTGTAATCACCGTGATTAACATAGTCTTCTCACCCTGGTCCCCTTTACTGTAATCACCGTGATTAACATAGTCTTCTCACCCTGGTCCCCTTTACTGTAATCACCGTGATTAACATAGTCTTCTCACCCTGGTCCCCATTACTGTAATCACCGTGATTAACATAGTCTTCTCACCCTGGTCCCCTTTACTGTAATCACCGTGATTAACATAGTCTTCTCACCCTGGTCCCCTTTACTGTA